CCAGGGATGAAACTCAAAAGTTTCCACTAAAAAAGAAATACTGAATCAGTCAAAACCTGGTAACATGCTGATTCAAAGTTAAGACAGAGATTTTCATTGAAGTCTAAGTGCATGTGATATCCATAACTGTATAAATATAAGGGCATCCAGGGTCAGTTTTCATCTAATCATAACCAGGAATCTGAGCAATCTACAAATCTGGCTGCTGAACAGATTATTTCATGGTCTAAGAGGTCAAATCACTCCCATGTGACAGTTGTCATGTAGAATAAAGTACAGGGGAGTCATCAAAGAGTAAACAAAATTTTGAAAAACAAAAAAAATGAATGAATATCAAGTGAAAACAGACACTAGTAAAGGAAACTGAGTTTACCTAAAACTACTTGTTTTCCTGTGCAGGGATATCAGAAAGCCTTGCAATGTTTGCAATCAGACACCATGTTAATACAGAATATAGTTTAAGATAAAACTCTGTTTTCCCTCTGGCTAGCAAGGATCCCTTTTCCTCTTCTCCTCGACATTTTTTCTCAGTAGGTTATGATCCTAGTGGGTAATGTCTTACACCATTTTGAGATAAGACCCATTGTTATACTCAGATCATAGGCCTTCTCCACAACGTTTTGTCATTTCAGCTGAAACATCAGACTGTAAAAAAAGTTAATAGAGGGCTCATCCAGACGTAAAAAAGTTGTCTTTGTTTCGTCCCCAGTTTGCATCCAAACCCTTTCTTGACCTAACCAGGATTTTTCTCCTTTCCTCCTACTTCGTGTTTCTCTTCTTCTTTCTCCTCCCATCTCTTGCATGACACATACAACATTTCAAATTTTGATTTTCACCAATTTCCACTGAGCTTTATTGATAGTCAAAGGGCTGTAGCAATATTATGCTAGTTAAATAACAGGATCATTTTCTTTTGGTGCAACTATTCTTCTTTCCTTGCTTGATCTCTGTTGCCCAAGACTTTTGGAAAGTGTCAAGTTAGAGAGTACCGTTTTCTTCAAATTTTATTACTGTCTTGGAAAGAGTAGCTGTGTTTACTGACAGTAGCCATACTATTCTTCTTTCCTTGCTTGATCTCTGTTGCCCAAGACTTTTGGAAAGTGTCAAGTTAGAGAGTACCGTTTTCTTCAAATTTTATTACTGCTGTGTTTACTGACAGTAGCCATCATAGCTAATTCCTGGATAATATAAGCAGACAACCAAGTAGAGATGCGAGTATATTTCATTTCAGGAAATACTAGGTTTAATCTCATTTGGAAAGTAGGAATGAAAAAACCTCGGCAATGCCTGGTGTTCCTGGGAAATTTTTGAGGATTGAGAAATTTCTGTGCTTCAAAAACATTTAAAGCCCTCCAGATGGGAAAAACATATGAAAGTATCAGGCTTTGTTTCCATTTCATTTTGGAGATTCTTATTACTTTTTCAAGGTATTCGTCTTTTAAAGTGATAAAATAATATCATATGTTTAAAAATCCCCGATATATATATATATATATATATATATATATATATATATATATATGTAATAGTGAATAGAAATCTTTTTGACGAATCTTCATCCAATGGTGTGAGTGGGTGAAAAGACAGGACACTCGAAGCTTAGAAGTTTTTTTCTGCTGCTTAATCAAATTCTTTATGCTAGACTTTCTGCAAACGTAATGGCTTATGAAAGAGCCATTCTGTTTAGAACGAATACATATTGCTAACATCATCATAATCTCAGTTGCAAAAAAATGAGAGCAAGGTGGTGCCTCAAGGAACATGTAGGCAAAAATTCAACTTAGGGGCTACAACTGTGCAAAAAGGAAAAAACAAGGGAAGAATATATATTTGTTTCAGTCTATAAAGCTTTGGATACAACTCCTTATTCCTCATAGTACTACTGGAATAAAAAAATAAGTTAACAGAATGGGTTAGTTATTTTTTATATCTTAAGGTACAGTACTCACATTGGCACCTGGATAACTTGACCCAGTTTTGGAAGAGAGCTGATTTTTTGACTAGAATTTCTAGACTTACTCATATGTTTATAGGGTACTTATGAGAAGCCTAGAAATAGTAGTCAAAAAAATAAACTCCCTCCCAAAACTGGGTTGAGTTATCCATGTGCTTACTCATACTAGACTTACTCATAAGTTTATAGGGTACTTATGAGCTGCGGTGGCTCAATGGGTTGAACCCTTGGGCCGGTTGAACTGCTGACCTGAAGGTTGGTGGTTCAAATCCACAAGACGGGCTGAGATCCCATCTGTCAGCTTCAGCTTCCCTTAAAGGGACATGAGAGAAGCTTCTCACAGGATGGTAACACATTCAGGCATCCTCTGGACAATGTCTCTGCAGACGGCCAATTCCCTCACACCAGAAGTGACTTGCATTTTCTCATGTCACTTCTGGCATGATAAAAAAAATAGGGTACTTATAACAAGTACACCTGGCTTGCAAGAGAGACAAACCCATGTTCAGCACATACAATATGCTACAATGCAATGCACATGTGATCCCTTGACAATATACAATGGGGGGAAAATGTATTTAGTCAAATACCAATTGTACAAGTTCTCCCACTTAAACAGATGAGAGAGGCCTGTAACTGACATCATAGGTAGACCTCAACTATGAGAGACAAGAGAAAACACATAAAAACAATCACATTATCTGATTTTTAATGAATTTATTTGCAAATTATGATGGAAAATAGGTATTTGGTCCATAACAAAAGTTCATCTCAATACTTTGTTATATATCCTTTATTGGCAATGACAGAGGTCAAACATTTTCTGTAAGTCCTCACAAGGTTGGCATACACTGTTGCTGGTATGTTGGCCCATTCCTCCATGCAGATCTCCTCAAGAGCAGTGATGTTTTGGTGCTGTCACTGGGCAACACAGACTGGGCAACAAAGAAGTGGCTTCGTAAGAAGCATTTCAAGGTCCTGGAGTGGCCTAGGCAGTCTCCAGATCTCAACCCTATAGAAAACCTTTGGAGGGAGTTGAAAGTCTGTGTTGCCCAGTGACAGCACCAAAACATCACTGCTCTTGAGGAGATCTGCATGGAGGAATGGGCCAACATACCAGCAACAGTGTATGCCAACCTTGTGAGGACTTACAGAAAATGTTTGACCTTTGTCATTGCCAATAAAGGATATATAACAAAGTATTGAGATGAACTTTTGTTATGGACCAAATACCTATTTTCCATCATAATTTGCAAATAAATTCATTAAAAATCAGATAATGTGATTTTCTGGATGTGTTTTCTCATGTTGTCACTCATAGTAGAGGTCTACCTATGATGTCAATTACAGGCCTCTCTCATCTTTTTAAGTGGGAGAACTTGTACAATTGATATCTGACTAAATACTTTTTTTCCCCTCACTGTAGATGAAAATTAATAAAGAATTTTGTACTATCTTAACATCTGACAGATTTGTTATGGAACATAACCTTTCATGAATGTATCTATTGCATATCTCTGTGTTAGTTGCAGCAGGTTAACTTTTTAGACACTGATAAGAAAGGTATATGAGATAAGACTAGTCTGGATTTTGGACTTGGAAGCAGCATACAGACGCTAAGAAACAGAGGAAGGTACCTTAAACATGTATCTCAGTCGTATTGATTCTGACAGCAATGGCTGTCAGGTCCCTTCTACAGTGCCATATAATCCAGATTGTCAAAGCGGATCATCCGCATTATCTGCTTTGAACTGGATTATATGAGTCTACACTGCCATATAATCCAGTTCAAAACAGATAATCTGTACTTTATATGACAGTGTAGAAGGGGCCTCAGATTGTAAGGCTCGTTTCTTTCCCAGTCTACCTCATGTTGGATCTATACTGCCCTATATTCCGGGATGTGATCCCAGATTATCTGCTTATCTCAGATTTCCTGGCAGTATAGACTCAAATAATCCAATTCAAAGAAGATGATCTGGGCCCTCTTCCATCTCATCCTATGGCAAGAGACAGGTTAACGTGGATGGCAGCTTTAAAATCTGAAGTAAATTTGGAGTAAATTCACTGCCCACAAATTTTAGAGCCACCAGCCTGCAGTGATGCATGTTAGCACGGTTCACTGTGATTTGGGTGTTAGTCTATAACTGGGGGAGACGAGGGTTCAAATGGTTGCTGGGCCATGGAGACCTTCTGGGTGATCTTGGGCAAGGCCCACTCAGCCTGAGGCAAAGGCAATGGCAACTCCTCCTCTGAACTATTCTTGCCTAGAAAATCCTGTTACAGGGCTGCCCTAAGTCAGAAGCACATGAGAACAACATGAAACCTGATAGTATGAGTTTCTGTCTTTTCTGATTTATAGCAACCCTTCCTAGGGGTTTTCTGGGGCCAAGGGAGTGTGATTCACCAAAAGTTGCCCACTGAATTTCCAAGGCTGAGCAGGAAATCCAACCCTGCTCTCTGCAATCCTAGTCCAAGGATCAAACACCAAAGGCAGTTGTGAGATCAACAGCCCAGACAGTCATAGGTAGTTACACTGTTGAAGGTCACAGAATTGGGTCCTTTAAGCATAAACAAAGTGCCTTCTGTTCCCTTACTGACAAAACCTTTCAAATCTAGGAAGCTGGAACTCCAGGATAATAATAATAATAATAATAATAATAATAATAATAATAATAATAATAATAATAATTTATTGCCCGCCTTTCCTAATTGTTCAAGGTGGGATACAACAAATTCAAAAACAAATGAAAAAATACAATAAATCACTAAATTTAATAGATAAAAACACATAAATAAATAAATAAATAAATAAATAAATAAATAAATACTTATTACAAACACAGGACTGGCATATGGTGGGAAAGATAAAGGTTTTCCCTAACATTAAGTCAAGTCATGTCCAACTCTGGGGGATGGTGCTCATCTCCATTACTAAGCTGAAGAGCCAGTGTTTTCAGTAGACACCTCCAAGATCATGTGGTCAGCATGACTGCATAGAGTGCCATTACCTTCCCACCAATGTGGTACCTACTGATCTACTCACATTTGCAGGTTTTTGAACTGCAAGGTTGGCAGAAGCTGGGGCTAACAGCAGGAGCTCACTCTGCTCCCTGGATTCGAACTGCCAATCATTCAGCCAGCAAGTTCAGCAGCTCAGTGGTTTAACCCGTTGCACCACTAGGCGCAGTGGTAATAGAATGCAAATCAAAATTCATATTGAAAGTTGACTGGGTAGGCTTGCTGGAAGAGATGGGTCTTCAATTGCATTTTAAATTCTGACACTTTGTTTAGCTGTTGAATCTCTTCTGGCAGGTCATTCCACAGTCATGGGGCAGCCGATGAAAAGGTCCTCTGGGTGACAGTCACTGGTCGGATTCTGGCTGGTTGGAGTAAGTGTACCCCAGAGGGCCTCAGTGTCCTAAAGAGCAGATTGTGGAGGAGAAGGCGATCCTGAAGATAACCTGGACCCAAATCACGTCTTCTTTGAGAGAGTTTTCCTCCCATAATTGACATTTTCAAAACACCAGGCAAAAGGCAAACATTGGCAAGCAGGGGCATTTCTGAAGGTTAGTGTTGGTTACATGACAGCTCTCTTCCTTGGGGGCCAAAGGGTGCATCTAAAACTAATTCAGTTTGAAACCACATGAAACATAACAAGGCTATGGAATCCTGGGAGTTGCACACTAGAGCAGTGGTTCCCAACCTGTGGTTCGAGGACCACCAGTGGTCCGCAAGAACAAAAATATGATCCGCAGCCTCACCATTACTACACAGTTGCTTCAAAACCACATGGCAACTGGAGTGACTGGTCTCACAAAGCCCTCCTATAGTGCTGAGGCAACGGGGATCTCGGGAGGAAAGAGGCTAGCTACCCACAAAAGATTACTACTACTATATCAGCTCTAGATTATTAAACATGGTTTTCTGTGGGCAAGCAGATGGCAACTACTGGATGGCATATGTTCAGTATCAGAAACTAGAGCTGATGTGGTCTATCCAATGCAATTTTCTGAATCAGTACCCCAAATAACCAAACTAAATCTAAATTTGACCAAAAACGGATTTGTAACCTTTTTGATACTAACATTTGAGAGTGGTCCCCGGTCAAGTGGTCCCTGCTCAAAGTGGTCCCTGGTCAAAGTGGTCCGTGGTCAAAATGGTCCCTAGTCATGTGGTCCCTGGTTACAGTGGTCCCAGCTCAAGTGGTTGCAGGTCAAAGTGGTCCCAGGTCCAAGTGGTCCCTGGTCAAAGTGGTCCCAGCTCAAGTGGTCCCTGGTCCAAGTGGTCCCAGCTCAAGTGGTCCCTGGTCAAAGTGGTCCCTGGTCAAAGTGGTCCCAGCTCAAGTGGTCCCTGGTCCAAGTGGTCCCAGCTCAAGTGGTCCCTGGTCAAAGTGGTCCCAGCTCAAGTGGTCCCTGGTCCAAGTGATCCCTGGTCCAAGTGGTCCCAGCTCAAGTGGTCCCTGGTCAAAGTGGTCCCAGCTCAAGTGGTCCCTGGTCCAAGTGTTCCCAGCTCAAGTGGTCCCTGGTCCAAGTGGTCCCAGGTCAAGTGGTCCCTGGTCAAAAAAAGGTTGGGAACCACTGCACTAGAGCATGGATCCAGGTTAAATTCAGTTTCTGCCTCCTGCAGAATTCTGTGGCTTGTAGTTTAAGGAGGGGCCTTCAAACTGCTCTGCCAGATAATCCTGGGCCTCAGTAAACTACAAACCCCAGAATTCTGCAGGAGGCAGAAACTGGATTTAATGTTGATCCATGCTGAATCTAGTGTGATAAGGCTGGAGATCTTTGGCCTTCTCTGCCTGGGTGTGGTGGGACCTTACCAAACAACTCCTTGGATTCCCTAGCCTTGAGCCATGGCAGTTCAAGTCGTGCCCAACTGCGTTAACTAGACAGTGGATCAGGCAGGCGTGGGCAAACTTGGTCCCTCCGGGTGTTCTGGACTTTCAACTCCCACAATTCCTAACAGCCTACCGGAGGGCCGAGGTTTGCCTATGCCTGGTATAGAGGCATCCAAAGTCTCCAGGTTGGGTGAGACTTCACTGTCCTTCCCCGCCGCGAAACAGACGGAAGAGGCGCAGCAACCCCTTCGCCTCTTATCTCTGCCGGACAGACGGAAGGGCAGAGCGGCGGGATCCCCGAAAGGGGCCCTTAAGGCTTGGAGTCAGGCGGGAGGAGCAGGAGGGCAAGCCAAGGGCCAAAAGGGCGGAGGGAAGGAGGGAGGGGCTTGAGGGAGAAGCCCCGGCCCCTTTGCTGCTTACTGCGCCTCACCGAATCCTAGAGTTGGAAGAGCCCTCGTGGGCCATCCAGTCGAACCCCCTTCTGCCAAGAAGCAGGACAACCGCACTCCAAGCCCTTCCGGCGAGCGTCTCTCCTCTCCTTCGCCCCAGACCTGGGCATTTGGGGCGTCAAGGCGGGCGAAAGGAGGGCGAGGGCTCTCCCAGAAACCTCTGAAAGGGGGGGAAAAGGTGTCGGGGGGGGGGGGCGAAAAAAGCCCCTTTCCCAGCTCTGGGTGTGGGGAGGCTAGAGCGAGGGTTTCCCAATGGAGAGGGCGGTGACGCCTCCCTTGCGAAGTGCCTCCCAGCCAGCCTCCGCCCCAGAGAAGCCCCCCCCCCTCGGTGGAGGGAAGCCCCTCCGCGTCGCTTCCCTCCCTCCGCTTTACCTCCGCGCCTCTCCTTGCGCCCAACTTCGCTCTGGCAGCGCCGCAGCCTCTACCTCCGGCCAGCCCGGGCTGGGACTAAAATAGGCGGCAGCAGCAGCAGCAGCGGCAGAGAAGGAGCCGCCACGAGGCGAGCGCTGGGCGGCGCCTGCTCCGGGGTCAGGACGGAGAGGGAGCTTCCGAGGGGGGAGGGGAGGGGGAAAGGCCGAGGAGACCCCCGCCGCGCAAGCGCACTCCGCCCGGGACACCTCGGCGGCTGCCGTCGGGGGAGAGGAGCTCCCTGCCCGCCCTTGCCTCGTAGGTAGCCCGCAGTTTATATGGGAAGCCGGGGCCCCAGAAATGACAAACTACAACCTTTCTTAGTGAGGGGAGAAGTTGGCAAAAACTCCAGCGGTCAGAAGAAAGAAGCAGACCGAGGGTGCATCTGTACTGCAGAATTAAGGCAATGTGACTTCGCTTGTAGCGCCCTGGCTCAATGCTGTCGAATCCTGAGAGTGAGGCAGCAGCTCTCATTTGCCAGAGAAGGGGCAAAACCTGCTGAAACTACACTTAATAATAACAATAACAATAATAACTTCTTGCTGCTGCAAGAAGATCGCGCAGACAGACTACAAGCAGAGGCATAACACCATTGCTCAGATGATTCATTGAAACTTGTGCCACAAATACCATCTGCCTGCAACAAAGAACTGGTGGGCTCTCAAGCTGGAAAGAGTTAAAGAAAATGAACACGTCAAGCTACTCTGGAACTTCCAAATTCAGACAGACAGGATTTTGGAGCACAATACTCCTGACCTCACGATCGTGTTAAAAAACAAAGTATGGATTGTCCATGTTGCAATCCCAGGTGACAGCAGGATTGAAGAGAAACAACTGGAAAAGCTGATAAGATATGAGGATTTAAAGATCGAACTGCAAAGACTCTGGCACAAGCCAGTAAAGGTGGTCCCAGTGGTGATCGGCACACTGGGTGCAGTGCCTAAAGACCTTGGCCTGCACTTAAACACAATCGGCACTGACAAAATTACCATTTGTCAGCTGCAAAAGGCCACCTTACTGGGATCTACACGCATTATTTGCTGGTACATCACACAGTCCTAGGCACTTGGGAAGTGTCCGACATGTGATCCAATACAACAGCCAGTAGAGTGTCTGCTGTGGACTCATCTTGTTGTGTTTCAAATAATAATAATAATAATAATAGAAACAACTGGAAAAGCTGCCACGATACGAGGATTTAAAGATCAAACTGCAAAGACTCTGGCACAAGCCAGTAAAGGTGGTCCCTGTGGTGATCGGCCCATGGGGTGCAGTGCCTAAAGACCTTGGCCTTCACATAAACACAATGTGGAACAAAATGTTTGGCTGATTGAATATTTTGCCAAAAAATATCATAGCATTTTCCAAACATTTTCCTGTATTATGTTAGGGATTGCTGGGCAATGAAGAGTTATTCACACTGATACACCCCTCCTCCAAGGCCCAATCTTTACCTCAGAAGGACTGACAAAACATGTGTAAGTTGTGGCATAATGTAAAATAAACCATGTGTAGTTCACATAGGATCAGCCCTCATACTGCCTTGCCAGGGAAAGAAAATGTGGCACGCAGGTGAACAGTAAAGAACAAGTAGTTTACACTTATTAGTTCAGAACAACATATGTACAATGTGATCAGTTGCATCAAATGTCAAATGTCCTTTTAGAGAGATTTCTTTGTCCGTATGAGAGACCTTTCAACAGCTAAGAACCAAATTAGTCTGTCTCTCTCTGCTTCTCTCTGCACCTGCATAGCTCAAAACCTGAACAAAAATGCAACAGTATCCAAAAGTTCCTGGGCATTGCCTGACCAATCAGCTTCATGCATCTTTTTTGCACTTGACACACACACTCATAGATTCCTTGCATGCTCCAACACAAGTTTCCTTTATCATAACGTGTTTTATTTTGCAGTGATGGGGAATATGTCATCCGTTCAGAAATATGGAAATGTGCAAGTCAGTCTGTACTTCCTTTCTATTATGAAGTAATAATAAGTAAGCAATTGACAAGTAAGTATGAAGCATCAAAATGTGCCATAAGTTTCAGAGTATGTGACTTAAGAAACTGTAAATAATCATGATAAAAAGTCAAAACTTTATTACTAAGGAAATACATTCAGTTTTTACATGACTCCAGCCTTCACCACTCCTGATCTGGCATTTTGTAATTTCTCATGCATTAGGAATATAAAATGCAGTTTTTGAATATAATGATAATGAAAGTAATTCTTATTCTTTCTCACTGTGTCATTTTTCCTTATCCAAATGGACATTTTTCCTGTATAATCTTCACATCATGGAATTAGAACCCATTCATCTGTATCTAAATGCACAAAAGGCAATAGGTGCTTGATTAAGAGATTCACTGTCTGGAAGTATCACATTTATTGCTATGTATGGTCTTAATCATTCCTCGTGTGCAGTTACCTCAGTTACAGCATATGAATACTGTTTCGAAGTAAGTGCAGTGGTGTCAATTACATTTGCCACTATTGTTCTAGCATCTGCTAATTTCAGCAGACACCAAAGATTGGTTTTGAAACAAACCCCAGGTAGCTCTGGCATCATTACATTTAATTTAATGGTATGGAGAAAAAAAGAAACACGGGACCTTTAAGTTGCAACTGAGTTTATTGTGTTGCCAATGAATGGTACAATTGATTAACATCAAAACAATGTAATGCTTTGAAATTGTTTTCTAATGAATCACTCTCAGACAATGGGCACCTTATGTAGCTGATTAATTTTCTGCTGTGCTTCTTTTCTGAGACAGTAGATAAACATGCTTTTGTCAAAGGAACCCTGTAAACAATCAGAAACAGACCCATTTTATAGTCTTTCATTTAACTCCAATTTGATGGATTAGCCTGTGGCCCAGTTTTGGAAACTAGCTGAAACCTTGAACTATGTATCTGATGAAAAGGATGTGGTACACAAATACTATTACCATAACATTTT